ACTGGCCCCAAGCAGTAACACCTGCCTGGCTTGAACCCTGCTTCGGGTGGCCGGCAAGTGCCGGGGGCACCGTCCGTGCCACCCCCCCGCCAAGGGCGGCGCACGGTCCCTGGGTCCCGTGCTGAGCCAGCTCCCCACCGGGCCACCAACCGTGAGGTTGCACAGAACAAGTGCTCCATGCTAATCCCAACGCACCAAACACATGCCAGCGTTGGCAAAAGAAAAAAAGGAGGAAAAAAAAAAGATGCTAAAAAGGAAATTCTGCTGACCTAACCCAGGAGGCCTCCCGGGCTCCAGGGAGCAGCCAGCCTGGCCTCAGTTTCCCCAAAATCCAGAACCCCCCCAGCACAGCAGGACGGGGACTTTTGCCGGGCAAAGGCCCCGCGGTGATGGGCGACCCCAGGGTGCAGGGGGACTCACCCTGCCCCACTTTCATGACGATCTTCATGGAGCGCGTCTGGCAGACCCCTCCTTCCCGGTTCTCCAGGCCATCCAGCGTCCCGTTGGAAGTGGCTGCAAGAAAAGAGAGGGAGCGTTTAGGCCGGGTTCCTGGGAGCTGGAAGGGCAGGTCCCCACTGTCCCCAAGCACCACAAGGGACCTGGCAGGAGCTCAGCACCTCCCGGCGCGGGGGCTCGCTCCTGACCCCCCGCCCGCGGCCGCAGCCGCTTCTTCGTGCCCCGGTCCAGAGCCCACCGCAAGTGTTTAATATACCAAGTTCTCATTTTCTGCACCTTCAAAAGACATTTGGAGCGGTGAGGATGTGACCCCTCCAGCTTCCCCTCGCTGCCACATCCACACAAGCGAGCCATTCTCCGCGCCTGCACCCTCCTCCCCCTTTAATTCCTGGATAATTTCCTTTGCTCCTTGGTGTATAATAGGAACACATGCATATGCACAGTTTAAATTATACATATATAATTACACACTGTGCCTCAGTAAAGAATGTAAACTCAGAGCCCCAATGGGCTTGAGTGGCTTTAATTGCAGGGCAGAAGTCAGTTAAATTCACATTAACTTTTTGCTTTAGCCGGTGCAGATTTTTAAGCCTTTTGATATCGCGGGAGCCGCACGT